GATACCCCCCCCCCCATGCTCCTGTGGGACACTCCATCCATTCCACCATCTCAGCATTTACGAGCTGCACCTGGTACCTTGAGGTATGTAGAAAAAACATAAAGCTGTGTCTATGGTCAAATCGCTGATTCTGTGAATTAAAATCGAATCTTCAGATTCAGCTAAACCGAAATCAGGACAGTGATCTGAATCAGTGAATTGAATCACTCTCCCCTGAATTGGGCCAAATCCAAATTGAATACTGCCTGCTTTTCACACCCCTAGCAAAAATGTTTTCATTAGGAAGGCTTCACTCGCTTAACTGCAACAATTAACAGAAAGCAGAGAGAACAAAATAAGTGCTTAGAGATAGGATCACAGAAAAATAATTTTAACAAGGCCATGACAGAAGTCATATGGTTCTGGAAGTATTGCACAAATAACAAATACTATGCTGTTTGTTGTATATACAGCAGTTACAGCTGCCTTGAAAGTGTCTTCACAAAACAAGACTTATAAAATGTTTAGTGAGTAGTAATAGAGTTTAAGTTAATATCAAAGGAATGTCAAACTTGTATAAAGCAGAATGTTATTAAGCACAAGGTTCATCGTGTATAGGGAAAAAGCCAGCTGGGATAGTGAAAGGGAAAAAAAAAAAAAAATAATCAGGCACCACAATTACATTTGCTCAGCTTGAGAAGAAAGACTTCAGAAGTAAAACACTAAATAACACTGACTAATGTAGTACTCAATACATGACCCAACCACACAAGTCAAGCTTGCTGAAAATACTCAAATAAACTTTCCTAGACACAGAGGTGGGACTATGCCATATAAAGGCTCAAGGCCCTGCTTTCAGTAAGTGTCACGGCGGGGTCCTCGTGGAGGGCCGTGATCTCCTCGAAGTCCCTCGCTCCATGTCAAGGCCGGCCCAAGGCACCCTCTAATTCTCGCCCGCCATGTCTTGTCAGTTCAAATAAGTTTGGGAGGCTGCCTTACGTCTTCTTGGACACGGTTCGTTGTGACTTCTGTCCCTGTGGACTCCTGGGCCCCTTGTGGGTCTTGTCCTGCAAATGGGTGCTTTGTGGCACCCTAGCCTTATGGGCTATGCGTGGCTCCA